CCCCAAAACCCCAAAACCCCAAAACCCCAAAACCCCTCTCTATGCTTTTATAATTGAAATATTATTATTCAAAGTTTAGAATCTATGGTGCTTCGCAAACAAGTGTACTTGATTCGGAAAACCTCCCAAAGCATTAGGAGCTTTCTGGTTAGGGAGAGATTTCTCTCTAACTCGAGAGCCTTCTTCGGAAGACTCTTCCATAGTGGCAGTCTGGTTTGTATGTGATCCTTCATTAATCAACTTCCTGATCCCAATCCTCCTATTAAAGCGGTGCTTTCTTTTCTTGCTGATCTTGAGCTTCTTCTTGCCTTTACTGACACTTTTTCTGGGATCTTTAGACCCTTTATGCTCAATTTTAAGCTTTCTCTGTACAAGGTTGTTAGAATTCAAAGTGAAAGAGTTTGGAATAGTCAGAAATATATTACCTTCTCATTACTTCTAGAAATCTCTCAATTTGATTTAGGGCTGAACCCAATCACTTCAAAACGTCTAGGTTTTCTCTTCCGTGACTGTGAGCTATTTGAGTTAGATTTATTTAGAAAGAGAATGCTCCTTATCAGTGGAAGTTGACTTGATGGATAAACTTTTTGTTCAATACTTCTTCTCCTCCTTAGTCTTCCTAGTCCAAAATCTTTCCAGCTTCCTCCTAACATTCGGAGGTAAAGAACTGTTGTGAATGTTATGCAACCTTTGATGATTAATAAGGATTTGAGGAGGAAGTGCGTCAAGGACCCATTCATCCCGCATAGCTTGCTCAGGAGTCATCCGCTTTTCTGGATCCCAATGTAGTCATTTCTTAACAAAATTAATGAATAATGGATCATTATTTTCTAGCACTTCTTGAAGAGTTTTTGTGTTTGGGTATTTCCTCTTCCCTTCAGAGTTAGGCTTTATAATCGGAGTTCCATTTTCTTCAAAGAATAGATGAGTCCGTGCTCCTTTTGACAGAAGTTCTACCGGAGGAACATCTAAGACCTCCATGATGTGTGCTAGTTGATCTTGTTCATCTTCACCAGGAAATAATGGATAGCCGCAGTTGAGCTCAGCTAAGATTCACCCTAAGCTCCACATGTCTATTGGGTAAGAATATGGGACTCCCAGGATTATCTCAGGAGCTCTGTAGAACCTACTCTGTATGTAAGTATATATTTTAGAGTCAATGAAACATGCACTTCCAAGATCAATAACTTTTATCCCAGAAGACTTCTTGCTTTTAAGCAAAATATTTTCCGGTTTCAGATCTCAGTGGATAATTTTCTCCTTTTTGAGAAAATCAAGTGCGTACAAAATTTGTAATGCAAAACGTCTTATGAGACTGGTTGAGATAGGATCGAAGTCTGCGAGTTTTATAAACTCATATAGATTTATGCTAAGCAACTCAAAAACAACACAGATGTGGTTCTTGAACACTAAAGCCTCTTTCATCCGGATAATATTATGTGTATCATCTGGGTCATTCTCTTTAAGATGAGCAAGGACTTTGACTTCTACATTTGCTTGGTATTGAAGGTTTTTCTTGTTACGGATAATCTTGAGCGCAATAAATTCTTTCTCTTTATGATCCCATCATTTGAAGGCTTGACCGAAGCTACCCTTACCTAGTCTCTCCCGGATCTCGAACCTGTAGCCGATCATCTCCCCTATCTTGGCTTTATAGTCACCTCGTTCATCATCAAATTCATTACTCTGGTCATTATCACTTAGAGATTGCTCTTTATGCTGTTCTTTAGTATTCTTTTTAACCTTATTCTTAGATTTTCCTTTCTTTTTATTTTCTTGAGATTTATTTCAAGGCTTTTCTGGATTTATAAGCTCGACCTTATCATTAGACCCAAAGGCAAGGTTGCTAGACTTGTTATGGATAAACCCTTTAGCGGGATGAGTAACTTCCTTCTCAATCTCGTTCTCGTAGTTTATCCCTAAAGACCCAGTATGCTCTTCGTTGTTCGACTTCCTAGATGAGTTTACTAAATTTAAATGGTTAAATGGGAATTTAACAGGACTTTACCATAAAGTAAATGTAGCTTTCAATCCTGTGAGTCAATGTTTATCATCAGCTCATTGAGGTTCAGCTTCTTGGAAATGTTAGTAGAGGCATTAAAGTTCGATTTAGTACTCTTCTCCTGAGATTTATCATACCCAATAGACCCATCTATGGAATTTTGGTGGCTACCAAATTTAAATGTCATTTTCGTATCCTTCTTTGCATAATCTGTACAGTAGTTGTTCTCCAATGCTCTGTTATCCAGATATTTGCCCTTCTTATTAGAAAGATCAATGTGCGAGGATCTGTCAAAGTTAGAGTTCTTCTTCTGGTCAGAGTTGACTATAAGTGTCATAATAGGTCTTACATCCTAAATTGAAAGCTTTCTTGGAAAGCACAAATTTCCCATTATTCTTGATTATCTTTTTATTTTTGGGATACTTCAGGTTTGATTTTTCTCTTTTTACGATTTCATAATTACTGTTGATAGTAGTTTTATTAGATTTTGAGAGGGAGACTTCTTTATCGTCCTCCTGGGTTTTGCTGGTACAAGAGGCAATCCCGCTCATATTTGAGTCCATCTCTCCAATGCCAGTTCCGCTCTCTCCTTGATTAGTTAAGTGCTTTGATTCAGAGGATTTCCTGGAGAGCTTTGAGAAGGTGCCTTCTAGGTTAAGCACTTCCCGGCCAAAATTTTGGCAAAGAATTGGGATTTTCTTCTTAGGGTTATTGTTTCGAATCATCAGTGGAGGCTCAGTGGACTTACTTTTGTCCAAACTGTTGCTTTTAGAGCTACTATTGTGCAAAGCTTTATTTTGAAAAATAATTTTATCCTTCTTCTAATTGAGTATTATAAGATTAAAGTTACCAAAGTTTTCTCAGTGCTTGTATTTTTGTTCTTTTTATGATTCTCCCTCTTCAGTGAGCTTTCTCGACTTCTACTGTTCATCTCAAGATTCTTCTTCAGAGAGATATTTAGTGGGATTTTTGCTGTATTTCTCTTTTTAGTTATCACAGTTTTATTTCTTTATAGTATTTGTAATGACTTCCTATATACACAAAAAGATCATCTTGAGCCTAAAATAGCATTCTAAATACTTAAAAAATGCCTAAAAATGTCTAATCTCCTTCCTTACCTTATCAAACGAGCTTTCCTTATCATTATTTGAATAATTAAACTTAAGGGTCTTATTTTCTCTACCTCCTTTCTCATTTTCATTTCCATTCGTATACCCAATTTCTTCTTCTGAACCTTCAATTTGCTTCTTAAATCTCCCTAGACGATCATTGGTGCCTTCTTTCGACCTTTTCTTACCTCTGTGGCCTCTCATGTTGCCTAAAAGGTCTGATAATCCTTCTTCAGGACCTATAGGGCAGGGATAAGCTTAAGCATAGGAAGTTAAGGGAAGTACAAAATTAGTGGAATGTGAAGCAAGCTCTTACTTTCGTTAAGGTCTGGCTGGTCTCTGCTGAGCAGTCAGATATTTAGCCTCGGTCGGCTGAGCTTGGCCTTCTTGGTAGTAAAGGGGGTGAATGGGCATGTATGAGAGGTTACAAGCTATGGGGAGAGGTAAGGAGAGGAGAGCTTACAATCGATGTTTATTATGTTTTGAACTAATCTTTGGATTGTTGGTTTCTTGCCTTTTTTGGGTTTTATTTGTTTTTCGGCTTCTTCTTTGTTATTGCTACAAAACATTTATCTAAATATTATATAATCAAACTTACTAAAATCCAAAGGGGTTTTGGGGTTTTGGGGTTTTGGGGTTTTGGGGTTTTGGGG